AGAGAGAGATTAATCCGCACCTCTGCTGATTAATCTATATATAAGGGTAGACACCCTATCTGTGCAGATTGTGCAACTGCACAAGGGCTCTCTTGGAGTTATGGTCCTATTTATACTAGATGTGGGCCAGGAGGGTGCTGGGACCTCATATGACTGCTATGTAGACCTAAGCACTGCATAAGTACTTCTAGGGAAGGTGAGAAATGGGAGCCATTATTCATGGTGACTTTAAGTACAACTGGATCCCAATTTTTTTTTTTTTTTTATAGAGTGGAGAGGATTAGAATACCTGTCAGATATTTTTTGCTATCTGTGTCCCCATTAGGTAGTTTTACCCCCTGTATTTGTCCTGGTGACCGTTGTCACTGAAAGTGAAAGAAAATTCCAAAGTTTGGGTTGTCACCAGAACAGCAATAGATGGGACATTTTCTAATGAGGGCACTAGTTCTAGTTCGCGGGATTTCCTCTCACTTCCTGTTGTGATTATTGGACAGGAAGTGAAGAGAAATGTCCCCAATGTTACACAGATAGCAAAATAGCTGACAGGGGTTATAACCCTCCTTTACGCTATCCAAAACGGAAAAAAAAAAAGTTTTTTTTTCAGTTCTCATATAAAGTACAAGTAAACCCAATCATTAAAATCTCATATAAGATTTGATATATTGAAGTCATTTCATTTACTTAATTTTTTTCTTTGCAGGTTTTATTAATGACTACTGATCCTGACATAGAGGCCCTGGTTTAGGTGCCTCTGTTATAAGAGATCAATGCTCTGTCCCTGTCCCCCAAATGCACTCCTGCATTGTCAGTCTGTCACACAGTTTTATGGTGGAGATAGCAGCAACCAAGCTGGCACACATTATGCCAGAATATTCAACCATAGTTACTATCAGAGGTAGTGCATGTAGAAAGAAAGTGTCTAAATGACATAGAGACATGCAGAATGCTTCATTCATTTACTCTTGATGCAATTTAGATGGTACATGGAGTAGGTGTCCTCGGTCCGACCTCATTTGTATTTTATGAACCACAACAGAGTTTAGGACTTCACAAAGGCTACTCTTCAGCTGCATCTATTTATAGTAAATAAGTGTATGTACTTTGGTGTTAATTAAAAAATGCTCTCACATAGGCACCCTTTGCAAATTGTGTCTACCACTTTATGCAAAAATATTAATTACAAAAAGACATATACAAAACACTTGTCTTATTTGTACATAATGTACTTGTTTTTGATATTTGGGATTAATAATCCCACCACTTTACAGTTCTGTTAATGTATTGCTCACAGCTATCATTTCTACTGTATACTGACTGTATAATTTCTCATGCCTACTTCTACCTAATCAAATGTCTTTTCTCAGAACTTTTGCAATGTTTCTCAATAAACTGAGTGCATGCTGAGCAGCTCCCCATTTGCAATGTTATTTAAGCTATTAAATGTGGCATTACAATGAAGGCAATAACAGGGTGAATGTCCTGATTAGGCATGTGTCCGGCAGTAGCATGCTTTCGTAATTATATTGTTAGAACTATCATTAGCATGCTCCACTGGATCACTGAATAGCACAGTAAGTCTAATGACAGACCAAACACAACTATGCTTTCATTTATTCTTTCTTTTCCAACTTATCATGTGTTATATTAATTGTTGTTCTTGAAAACATTTTGTAATATTAGTGTTAGCAAAACATAAATGGCATAAATACTTGTTAAAAGGAGAGAAGTGAACAGAAAAGTTACTTAACTGGAAGATAATTTGTCAATGACATTTATATACAAAAAATGTGTGCCAAAAATACTAGCAGAGAAAATCATATGACTTATGTATGTGTTACTGTAACCTTACTGTGCAAATTGTTGTTCCATATTAGACTTCATGTCAAAGTTATAGGGGGTCAAAGGCAAATATGCTGTTCACTCTGGAAGGGGGTTTGCATTTTGCAAGGGAAGTTTCCCTTAGCTACTCTTTGCTAAGACAATGATGCAAAATTTCAATTTGCAACGAATACCCAGCCAAGAGCAAATCCACTTGCAAAGTGAACAGGAATTTAGCAAATAAACCCCATAACCTTGAGCTTTTATTATCAAAGCAACCCTGTCTCAAAACATAATCAGTCAAACTCCTTTTACCTGTAAAAGAAGAGTGTAAATACTAACTTTTCCTGGTTCACCTCTTCTCCAAAGTCCTCTGAGAAGCCAAAATTTTTAGGAGTTTCATTCTCAGCCCTCACTTTGACCTCCACATCACTATAGGGAACAGTAGTGGTGTGAAGTTTGGCAAGAAGAACCAGTGAAGTCTGTATAAGATCCAAGAGATCACTCGGAAGTGTGATACAGAAATATGCATCAGTTGACAGAATGTACACCTTGATGGAACCTCTTTTCATGGAGGCAGAAAGACTTGCTAATACTGTAACAGGCTTTAGCTAGTCATATTACACTGTTAATACATCCTTCTCAACCATATTTTCTTGTATTAGCATAGGACATTAAATACCAATCTGGATGATGTGATTATAGCTCTAGTAAAAAAAATTTTTTTTTACCCATGATGAGCTGGATTGGGATGCAAGAGCAATAGGAATAGGTGGTATAATGCCTAGTGCAGATTATCCATCCCTGTTTGGGCTGTGAGTAGGCTTAAATGCCTAAATAGCAGCTTTTAATTGAAGACGAAACATTTATGTTGCATGTTTGCCAAAAGTGGTCAAATATTATCATATTTGTGCTTTATTGTCCTGTGAGCAAGCTGGAGACAAAGATAGCTGCAAAGCTGAAACAGAATCAAAAGGTAAACAGTTTGGAAGAGCATGGGCGGCCAGACAATTATCTGAAAGAATGGGTTGTAACACAGATTCTTCAACACTGGGTTTTAGTTGGACTTTAAATGCCATGCTAGAAACATTTAATTTAGAGATGAGTAAGGATGTGTTACCTAAGCCCTGGTATGTTTTGCTGATTTTCAAAGGTCTTTTTCAGATTGCAGTATTCATGAGTCCTTTGTTCTATGCCATCTGCCAGACTCTGTATAAAAAACTCCAGTAACAGAGGTGTGATGTGGTAAACTATGCCTGTTTTGTTAGTTGGCCAGTCCCTGGTGTTTGTATTATGGGGGTTTGAACGATGAGCCCATTTCTGGAGGGGTCCTTTTCCTACCTGGGATTGTTCCCTGGTTGCAAGCTTTGTGCCAAGTAAGATGCCTCTTAACTGGTGCCCAGACCTACAGGCTGTGTGTCTGGAAGAAGAGGTCTGTGTTACCTGGAAGTAGACAACCTTTTGCAGTGTTTTTGGAGAAGCCATGCCTGCAGCTGCAGTAAGAAAGCTAGAACTGAGTCAGATTAAAATCTAATGTTTTTTGGAGTTTAAGTGGTAGCTGTGTGCCCGTCAAGTTGAACCCCATCCAGAGACACTCAGCACTGGAAAGCTGTAATAGTCTATGTAAATGGATTTGGGGAATGCCTCTATGCCACTCTTGCACAGCTAAGATCATTTTGAGTGGAAGAACTGCACTAGAAAGAAATCAGGAACCCTAAAGGAAGATAAAGGTAGCTGTGAAACTGAAATAGGAGGCAAAGAGTTTACAGTACGGCAAAGCATGGGCCAGCCAGCCAATTATCATAGGAATGGACTGTAATTGTGCCACTACTAAATGTTTGCAAATGTCAGCCTTAAATGAATCAGGGTGATCAAGCTCTGATCATGGTACATTTAAGTAAATCTGAAATCTTGATTTCCATTTCCCAATCTTACCATTTTTACTAGTCAATACACATTTTAATTAAAATAAGATATTCAAAATCTAGAAATCTTTTTTTTAAACTAAGCTGAAACGTAAGAAAACAAGTCAGTGCATATATTTAAGAGAACATTTTACTGGTAATATGATGTACAGTAAGACGCTTACAGTAAATTGGCGTACTTCTCCACTTTCTATCAGCTCATAATCTTTTTCAGGGGTTATTGCATATGCAATTTTCTGAAATGCAAAAGTCACAAATATTCATGTAATATGTATAAAGCTATACTCATAATACATTTGCGATGTAGTAAATTATATTATACATACCTTTTTAAAGGATCCAGGAATTATACAAAATTTATATATGGCATAAATGGGTACCAAGGCCATGGATGATAGGGCAATTAACCAGCCAATAACATTTGCCCATTCCGGGAATGTGTAGTTTCCATATTTCGGAGATCTATACGTAATAATGCTGACAACAACCACAAACTAGAAGAAAAATCACATTAATGATTACAGAAAGCCTGTTTTAGTATATCTGTAGATATTAATTTTGTATATATATATATATATATATATATATATATATATATATATATATATATATATATATATATATATATATATATATATATATACATATATATAGACTCTGCTCTTCAGGGAAGCCTATCCCACCTCAACCTAACCACTGAACCATCACATTCTCAAACAATTCATCCCCACACAGCTACCTCCTCATGTATCATTTCCCCCTCCTCTTTCAGATTGTAAGCCCTCAGGGGCAGGGCCCTCCTTACCATCCTGTCTTGAATTGTATTGTATTTGTAATGTCTTCCTTACATTGTAAAGTGCTGCGCAAACTGTTGGCGCTATATAAATACTACATACACAGAGAGAGAGAGAGAGGGAGAGGAGAGAGAGAAAGAGAGTAACTAATAATTAACTATAATTGACTACTATGGGTTATTGTAACTTTGCTGTTTGTCTTACCAAATTCCCAAAAATGTGTACCAATCATATACTAGAATATTGAGAGAAAAAGATTTAAATAACATTTAAAAAACCTGTGTGTACGCATATACAGTATGCCATATGTTGCAGAAATAAGAGTCAGTTAGTCTTTTATGGCAGCTCATAGGCTCACAAATGAAAAAGACCCACATAATCCTGGAAGTCAATAAAACAATGATTGAGCCTTTTGGTACATTAAATGCATTGGTATACTAACAGCAGAGAACTATTAGATGTATGTGCAGGTAAAACTATATGAAAACATTGTGATATGCTATAGTACTAGGCTGTAACAAGCTTAAAGTGAACCGTTTCCATATGAAGTGGGAAAACTTTTCATATTGTCTAATTTGTTATTTATTAGCGTATGATCTAATGATATATTGGTTTAGCATGCTTTATACAATATATTAGGACTACTTAGAGTCTGCCACTGGGCAAATATTTAATTCTGAGG